AAATACGAGTTCGGAGACTGCAAGTGTCGAGCAGCTAGCACATCCACGCTGGCTACCAAGACAGTTTTATGTCATCGACCAGCACGGAAGAGTTGGCCGATGTATTCGATTGTAAGGCCGCTTTGACAAATATAGTCGAAATTTTTGGTGCAACATTATTGCATGTAATGGAGCCTGGGAGCATTATTGCACTAAAGAATCAAAATGTGCATCAAAGCAATGGAAGCATGCGGGTTCGCCACCGCCACCAGCAAATCAACACCGATGAGAAGGGGATACATAGGGTGCTCTTGTATAGCTCACACCTGCTGACAAACGTCTCTATGCAGATGCTACCTTCCGAATTTCAGTTAAACAGTGGGTCACCTAGGTGGAAGTAAATGCAATGGAGACACGCGCAGAACTGTCAATGAGGCTAGTAGCACCTTAAATTTGTTCCTCCTTCTCTGACTAAATACAAAGTCCTACTTCGACTTAAGTACCCTTCCTGATCAAGTTTCTACTTCAAAATATGGTTTCAAACCTTACCATAAATTATCCTCAAATGGCGGTCGAATGAGTGAGCTGTGACACAGCCTGGTTAATGGGGAGGGGATCTTGGCGCTCAGCTTGATGGAATCCAACTGGAAGACCGAGCACTCATTGACGCTGTTCGCGTTGCAGGCAACAGAGGAGGAGAAGGTGGAGAATGATGATAATGATGATGATGATGATCGAAAATCCCCAATTACTGGTTCCAACTCCATCATCCGCTTGCTCAACCATACCGGTCTGCCGGTAGAAGGCGCAAGCAGTGAGGCGAATAGACAGAGCTCCACATTGACTTCGGTGTGAAGGAAATCTGGCGAGTACAACACTTCCAACCACCGCTGCTCACCCGGCTTCAGCTCAAACTCACGCAGCGCACCATCCGCAGTCTTGTGACGACTACGAGTCGATGTTGCCATGACATCGCTGTCACAGAGTGCCACAGAGAAGCCATACAAATGGGGATCACATTGCCCCAAAGCCGAGGTGTATCCGGCACTTCCGGGTTGCTTGAATCCCACTCGCATGATCCAGACGGAGAGAGAGCCGGGATTGAAAAGAGCAATACGACGTGACAACACGAGGCCGGATATGAATTCAGACGAAAAGATGGGCATTCCATCCTCATCCATCGCCCAAGCTAGCTGCAGAGGAGAGGAGAAACGGGAGCTTTCCATACTGGACTGAGAGGACTGCGAGTTAGAGAGACGGAAGAAATTGAACGGAAATGCCGATTTGAGACCCTCGAGAAAACGTGTGATGGAGGGACGGGGATGAACCGCACCATCGGAACCTAACAGGACAGATAATGCGGCAGTTTCATCGCCCTCCACATAAGCGACAAGCAAGACATCGCCACGGTGACGAAGGACATGAGTGCTTAAGTGACGCCACTGTCAGTTAACGCTTGACACAAATGAAGAGGCTGATGACAGACGAGGGCCCTGATTGGCACGTGGTA